AATAATTATATTATGATTAGTCTATTCTTGTATGACTTATATGTATTAATAACATAAAGATCTGATGTAATTGTACACCAAAGTAATTAGAAATATGTCGCCTAAAATGTTATTAAAATTCTTAAAACACATACAATTTGATTTTCAAATAGTTGTCACCAATTACAAGTATATACAGTTAAATTAATTAATCTATAAAGTATATTTATACAAAAAAAATAAAATAAAAAAGTAAATGGTTTTTCAACTAAAATGGTAAAATGTTTTCACAAATGTTCACAAATGTTATGCACATTTCTCACTCCGATTAAACTACATAGACTTAAAAGATAAACAAGTAAAACCATAAATAATTTACCTGTCAGATCTCAAAAGACCAGCATGATGAACAGAAAATCCACTATTTAATAATTCACTTAATTCTTTTGAATGACAACGCTCAAAAGCCTTTTTAGCTATACCTATTCTATTAGAATCTTGGGGTAGGAATGCAGTCTGATGATTTTTCTGAGTGGATAGTTCTCTAAAAACATTAGCTGTTTTTATAGTAGCATTACGAGCATGAACAAACACCATAACCTTAATACACAATATATTAAAATTAAATAAATATTTACTAATACTACAAAATTAGCTTACCTGATGTCCTTTTTGTACCATATCATACACTTTATCATAACAAACAGTATCCATTTCCTGTACCATTTTTACAGTCTTGCTACCACGAACCCCTATAAATGTTTGAACTAATGGCACTGGTCGAAATCGTCCATCAAAATAAAATAGCCCTTTATAAAGATTGACTCTTAAAAAACGTGCTATGTCTTTATAATTTGGCAATGTAGCAGATAAACCAACAATTCGAATCATGCTTTGGGAAGACTCGACTTGTCTTAAAGTACGTGCTACAAGAGCCTCGAGGACTGGACCACGATCACCGTGTAATAAATGTACCTCGTCTATAATCAATAGCTTAACTAAACTTGTTAACGCAATATCTCCTAAAACAACAAACATATTAGAATTAAGGATATATACAATAAATATATACAATAAAAATGCCAAACCTGTTCCTTTCCGAGTAGCTACATCCCACTTTTCAGGAGTTGTAACTAATATTTGAGTGTTAAGCATTTCTGTTTTAGTGAGTGACATATCACCAGTAAATTCACGAACAGAAATTCCTAGGCTAGAAAGGCGTTTAGAAAAATTTGCAGTCATTTCAGCAGCGAGAGCTTTCATTGGAGCTACATATACAATCTGAAATACAATTTTCGATAGTGAGAAAGAATATGATGATGAAGGTGAAAATGTATACCTTAAATTCATTTTTATTTATTTCATTATTCCTAATGTGTTGTTTAATTTGATGGATTATGGTCAATAAAGCAACATTAGTTTTTCCAGCTCCAGTTGGGGCACATACTAGTAAATTTTCATTAGTGTTATATGCTGCATCAAAAACTACAGATTGTATTCTATTAAGATGAGTAATTCCATGAAAAGCTTTCTGCCCAACCTTTAAACATAAAAATAAACATTAGTTATAATATCAAATGTTTACCAAATAATCAAATAACTTCATCAAGTGTTTCAATGGAAATCAATTCTTTTCCAACAGTCAATTCTTGTGTCATTTTTGTAACTGGAATATAAACTTCTTCATGTGTTCGATGGTCTGTTCTTTTGGCTCCCGCAGGAATAACACATGATTCTCCAGAAATGAAACCTATTTGATAAATATAATTTGTAGAAACATAAAATCGAAATTATAAGAAATTATAAGAAATACTTACAACTTGACACTTTTGATTCAAAATTCATATCATATACATGGGGGTATTTCTGAGCTGCAGGTGCTTTTCTACTTTTTGGGTCAATAAATGTAGGAACATTTGCTGCACTTGTCCTTTAATACAACCATAATTTTTCATTTTATTTCAAGATTAAAGCAGAATAAGTCTATTTATAACAACACTCACGTTTTAGAAACCATTTTCAAAATCTCATCATCTGAATCTGAATCCTGTCGGCGATTTATTTTTTGGCAAGCTTTTTCTTCTTTTCTTAATTCTTTTCTAAGTAATTTATCTTCTTCAGTTTCAATAGTAATCATTTCCATATGTCTAGATCTTTTTTCCATTTCTGTATAAAGTGATAAAAGACAAATAAGAATTAATATTTGAAAAATAATCTATACATTCATTTTCATACTTAAATTCATAGGAAACAAAGATTTTTTTTCATTTGTAGCTAAACACTGTTTCAAAATATCTTTTCTGTGTTTCAAAAGTGTTTCAATGAGTGTAAGTCTTGCAAAACCAAGCAGATTAAACAACTACAAAATATTAAAACAAATTTAATTTAAAATATAAAATCAATAGATTTCTTAAAAAACTATACACTTATCAAATTTAAATTTAATAATTTATTATACTACAATTTATACACCAATACATACATCAATTTACACTTGTAAGAACTTTATTAAAAATAAAAAATATATGATGTTAAATACAAACTTATGGAAATCTATAGAGAATAGATTTAATAAAATTAATTGCTGGTGTTAATATTTATACATATTCATAGACCAGAAAGTTTAGTTAAATTATGAACTAAGTATTTTCTTAGTTTTGAGTTCATTAATAAACGTATAAATTTTATTTTTTATTTATAAAATTTTTTTTTTTTTGTCATATTTATTTTTATTTGTACAATCTGTATAAAAAAATATTTACAATAAGTACAATGGAGATAATGATAGTATATATTGGTAATTGGACATGGTTGACTTGTTGAAGAGACTATTCATTAATAGCACTTCATGGCAGGATGGTGGACTAGTCAACTAGTCGATTAGTAGGTCACGGCACCAGCTACGCTTTAAACGTCGGCCAGGGTCGCCCGGGATTGTTCGGCAAGATAGGTTTTGGATGAGAGGGTTTCGGTGATTTGGAAGTTTAAGGTGGAAACGTTTATAGAGGGTTTTGGCGACGTTTTTTACTGTCGGAATGAGGAGGTCCCTGTGGAGGGTATCATTTGTAACATAAAAAGGGGCTTTGGTTATCTGCCTGAGGCATTTGGATTGAAATGTTTGGATTCGGTTTATGTTGGAGTCTTTAGCTGAACCCCAGAGTTGGATTCCGTAGGTCCAGATAGGTTTGAGGAGTACTTTGTACATGAGGATTTTATTGTGTAGTGAGAGATGTTTGGATGATAGGAGGAGGCGAAGTTGTCTTTGACGATTATTTAGTACAAGTCGTTTGTTACGTATGTGGGTAGCCCACGTGAGTCGACGATCTAGGCATAAGCCTAGATAACGGACATTTTGAGCGGTCGGGAGTGGTTGGTTGTTGAGTGTGATAGAGGGACAGCTTATTGGTCTGAGAGTGAATGTGCAGTGAATGGATTTGGATTCATTGAGTTTGAACCCCCATTCTTTGTACCATGTCGAGAGGATGTCAAGGTGGGTTTGGATTCTGCTGGATGCCTCGAGAGGGTCATGGTGAAGAGCCAGGATGGCTTTATCATCGGCGAAGTCACCGGTGGTGGTGAAGTTGGTAGTGGGTTGGTCTGATGTGTACAGGTTGAATAAAAGAGGTGCCGCTACAGCTCCTTGCAGTACTCCAGCTCTAATTGATGATATGTCAGATAGGGCTAAGCCATATCGTACGGAGAAGTGCCTGTCTTCTAGATAGGACTTGAAGATTAAGTAGAAGCTGGGTGGAAATATTGATTTTAATTTGAAGAGGAGGCCGTGATGCCATACCTTGTCAAACGCTTGTGCTACATCTAAGAAGGCGCCTGTGCAGATTAGTTTCTTTTCAAGAGAATAGGAAATTTTGTCAACTATACGATGAACCTGGTGTATGGTGGAGTGGTTATTACGAAATCCGAATTGATTGTCTGGGAGGTTTGTGTCAATGATTGGGAGTAGGCGTTTAAGTGCAAGTTTTTCAAATACTTTGGAGAAGAAAGGTAGAAGGCTTATTGGTCTGTATGAGCTGGGAGAATTTATAAAATTACTCATATTTTTTTTTCTATCAAATTAAATTTTTGGGAATAAATAATATTTTTTATTATTACCTATCTAAAAGTATGCTGGTATGCATTAATTAAATTATTTTAATTAAAAAGTATATGCTTGCACAAAAACCAGAAATTAGAAAATAAAAATCTTATAGAATTAATTTAATGATTATATGTATAAGCAACGAAATATTTATAATGCAAATACTGATGTAGGGGCCTTTAATGTTATGTAATCACAATTTGTATGTTAACATAAATTCAGGTTATTTCATTGTAACATCTATTTTTGTTCAAACATTCAGAACTTTGAACAAGGTCTGATTAAATATTGTTGTAGGCTACATTAATAATGCTTTAATCATAGTCTGTGATATATATAATTTGAAATTATAGCTTTAAATTTATTAACTACTAATTGTATGTAGTGGTTTACTGATTTTTAACTTTTAATAAAAGCAATCCATACTCTGAATTCCTAATATTTCCATAAAAATATTTATACTATGGAAATTATTTATTTATTAAAGTTCTCAAATCTCATAATATAAGAGGAGTTAAGTCTAACTCATTCTTCGAGATTGCACTACTTCAATATAATTGTGCAATACTTTACTAAAGTATAAATTATCCTAATAAATATTGTTTACATCATTATACAATTAAAATATTAAATTAATTAATGTAGCTTTTAGCCAATTGTGTCTCGTTGACCATAGACCATAGATATTTAAAATTAAAAGAGTAGAAACAGTAGAAACTAGAAGCAGACTGTAGATATAAATAGGTAATATATATCATATTATATTATCTCTATCACTAAAAACATGAATGCCCATGTCTCCAGCAACAGTTTAAGAAATTAATATTTTATTATGCCGACAGTGAGTTGTCTGCACTGTTTTTTATCAATTATCATACAAGGAAACTGAAATCCATAAAGGAGCACAAAGAGAATCTGGTACTGAGATAGTTCATAATATTCTCTATCATATAGGTAGTACATATACGAATACACAACAAACATAATATTATTACACAATTACAAATAACTGTTTACTATTTGCTGCACAAAATAATAAATATTGCTTTCAAATTTTAATATTGTAAATAAATACAGTACGGTATTACCACGATTTTAATATATATATTTTTAGTAAGATTTAGTACAAATGTCAAGTGCTTTCTGAATATTTCATAGTTTTTATTTTGTTAATTTTGATGAATTGTGATTTGTGTTCATAAATTGTATCCAAAAAGTTTATTGTTTTATAAATACATTTATATCGAGTGAAATTCCAAGTATAAAATGGATTTAAAGATGGAGAAACTGACGTTTAATGTTACATCTGAAATGTCTTTGCATAGTATACAACAATTTGCTTGCATTGAAACGGGTATGTTACAGAAGGACTTTTACTTGTTGTTTAATGGCAAAATTTTAAATGAAAATACTGTTCAAAATGGTATTGTACACATTGTCCCTCGGATAATGGGAGGCAAGGGAGGATTTGGTTCAATGCTTCGAGCAATTGGTGCACAAATTGAAAAAACAACTAATCGTGAAGCCTGTAGAGATTTAAGCGGTCGTCGGTTACGTGATATCAATGAAGAAAAACGAGTGAAAGATTTTCTAGCCAAAGGAGGTCCCAGCACAGAAGATCCTGAAGAACGCAAAAAACGCAAATTACAACGTCTATGTCAAGCACCCAAAACAGAATTTAAAGATGAACATTATGAAAAGCACATGTCCGAAATGACAGAATCTGTTTCAGATGCAATAGAGTGTGGTTTCAAAGCAGGTACATCAGAAATTCCAATTAAGAAAAAAATTAAATCCAAAGGATATTATGATTCCGATTTGGATACAGATAGCAGCGGTGATGAATTAGATGAAGAAAAAGTGTCTACTGAGTCAATCAAAGAGGAGCAATCAGACGAAGAATTAAAAGAAACAGAAAATGCTAATAAACGTAAAAGTTTAGACTTAGAAGATACTGATACTATAACAAAAAAAAGAATCAAAGTTTAACTATTTTTTAAATTAATTTAAATAATTTGATTGATTTTTGTTTCAAAAATAAATTTATAACTGTAAAACCGGTAATTGTAAATTATACTTGTAACATTTGACACGTAAGGTATTGTTAATTAAGGGAACATACTTAGGAGTTTAAAATAAATTTAATACAAATTACAATTATGCCTAATAATATTTATGTTCAAAAACATATTTTAATTTTAATGCTGTTGTTTGGATTTTGAGCAAATAGCAATATAGTAGTGTTATTATCTTATTTTGTTGGTCTATTCAACTTTGATCAACTTATGAAACATACTTGAGAAATTTAATGTTATTAAGCCGTACTTAAGAGGTTTTATTATCATTTCACTAATTGTATTCTACATTTATAAATTTTAATAATACATGAATAATTTTAATACTTACTTCATCTTGAAGTTCAGTATCAGATTTTTGAGTAGAAAGTAGATCTATGATACTAGTATAATATTCCTCATCTGAAACACCTAAATCTATTGATGAAGTCTTACTAATCTGTTTCAATAGCCAAGCTCTACCAAACTAAAAAAAAGTAAAATAACATTTTAACATCTACAAATTATCTAATTGAATATGAAGATAATTTACTAATTAAAAATATTGAACTCATGGATTTCATGCTAGTATGAATACCTTCCAATATTTTTAACAAGTTATTGAAAGATGGAAAAAAAAACAATTTACGTTTGGAGACTTATTTATGTTTTTTTCTTCATTATAAGCCATGGAAAATAACTTTGATGTCTTTGAGCCATAGTCCTGAACAGGTAATTTGGCAAAATTTGGAGGTACCCATTTGTAGTTTGGTTTATAACGTAATACACCATTGACTAAAGAATTCTGATCTTCGTTCAGATTTTTTTCATTATCAGCTTTATGATCGTCGAGTTTCTCCCAAAGTATTTTTAATTTTTTTAAACTTGTATCATCCATTAACTGTTCTACTTCTTTAACCAACTATAATTTGAATAAAATTATAATTTGTATACAATAGGCTGACTAATAAATTATGAATTACCTTAAATATTTGATCAGCATTATTATTTGATACTTTTCCAAACATACTTTTAAGCTCTAAAATATGTTTCATTAATAGTCCAGAAACACCAATAAATAATTTGAAGAAAAATAACACTGATGAACTTAATATTTCTGGTTGTTCATCTTTTGCTAAAATATAAATTATATTTAAGAAGCAAAAAATGAGATATTTAAAAACAAATTGTGAAAATGTAGGAAAAAACATAATATTCTAGATAGGTTAGGTAAATTATATAATAGTATATTCTATAATATAAGAATCTTAAATGAAGTATAAAAAGTAAAAAGACTAAATGATTTTAAAAATTTATGTTTATGTTGGCATAATCAAAACAGCATAACATTAACAATAACCGTATCACTTAATACTTACAAAGGTCTTGTGCTATTCCATACAACATATTCAAATTTTTCAAAATAATATCATTTTTAGGATCATTAATAACATTACACAGTTCAGTAAAAGTAAGGCATCTAGAAAATAAATCTAAGTTAATTACAATGAATTTTCACTTAAAATTGTATAACACTATAAATGCATAACAGTTACAGTAAGTCTGGAAACTAATCTATAAAATATTCTGATAGACTACAGAGACTGACATTGTTTATTTTGCTTTATTCAGCTTGGAGCAAGTTATGGTAAGTTGAGATTTTAAATTTAAAAGTGATCACAATTAAAGTGTAAAATATCAATCTGAGCAGTTTGGTCAAATCTAAGCTTTTTAACATTTTTTTAAATCCGTATATTATAGTTTTAAATGATTTTTCCTTATGCTTTAAAAAAGCAGACAAACTACGTCTTTTTTATTAGTAATTGATGATTATTGTCATCTGAAACTTTTAAGAAACTCGTTTTTATCAAAAGTAAATAGACTAACATAATTGGAAAAATGCAAGTTACTACTACCTATATATCAAGCATTAGAATACATCAATTTTTCGATTATTATATTTTGAATCCATAATTTTTATTAAATTTGTTTTGCCCATAAGACAAATCCTAATAATAAACTTTTCAACAAACATACATTTCAACAAAATATTAAAAATAATAATTACTTCTGAAATGTGTTTTCTTCTTCCTCCTTTAGTTTTTTAATAACACTTAAGTTATGACTCCAGACATTAATGGGTTCCATATATTCTGTAATATCGCTGTTTAAATAAACACGGACAGATCTCGTAAATCTAGGCAACTGACCAATGCTAATGTGCTCATGCACACCAGCTTTTACTTTTTCCATAATTAGGTAGGTAAATATCAGACCACCTATTAAAAAATCAAATACTTAAATGTAAAAATGTTAAGCTACTGTTACGGATAATAATTGTAAGTTTAAAACTGATCTAATATTTTGTCATACTTGATTTAAGGAGTTTTATAATTTCATCACAATATCATGAATTTAATCAAAAACTTCGTACACACACACACCCAAAAATTATTTAAGCGAACAATAAAACAATTAAAAATTTCAAATGTACACGTTCTATTTTTGATTGAAAGACAACATTATTCAATATTATTATTATATACTAACTACATAGTAACTATTACTCGTGAAGTCGTGAATGCCATGAGTACAACTTTATTGCTTAAGTAAATTTAAAATAATTCTTATCACTCTCCAAGCCCAGTAACTCAACTGAGATAAGGAGATTGATGCATGAATTTTGCTTTTAGTATTAATACTCTATGGTTTGGATTGTGTCACGAACTATATATATATATTATTATGTCATGGTCCGTAGTTTTTTAACTGCCCGATGCCCTACAATATATTTTGAATCAAAATCTATAAGCTTTTGGCAGTTACCACAACTATAGATCAAATAATCCGTGTTGATACCTTGGTTTAAGCGGCATACACGATCAATATTCGATATTGACAATATTAATAATTGTTATTTGTTATTGACCGTGTATTCGTTATATCGCAATTTTGCGGGTACTCCAATAATATTCAAATTTGATAGTATCAAAACCGTTTTGATATTTATTGACTTGTTTATATTGATGGTGTAAGGGCCGCTTAAAGCTAGTATTAGTTAAATTATGATCTAATAGATATTTAGACAAATTAAATCATAATTGAGATTGACATACTATCAATCTGACATACTTAATCTACTCTGTGATACTATGATGAAGCCATGAAGGTAAATTCTGAAGTGCGAATGGTAAATACTAAATGTCTAAATAGTAAATACAGATTTCAGCAGCTGTGGAGGACGAACCGACGAACCACAGACGAACGGATGACTAAAAAAACGACGATTTGAAGTTAGTGGTAATCATGATAAACTAACATTTTATCATGGTGGTAATAACATTAGCAGTTAATGTGGTTTATACCAGCATCAGCATGACGATAATATTATCAATGATCAAATGCGCAGTTTTGATTATTTTTAACAAATTTTTTTTAACTTTTCTTACTGTTGTATAATATTATTTCGTAAATATTTAATATTTTTTTATTATGTAGTTGTCCTATTTGATCTCGTTCTTCAAACAATGGGGCATTAAACCCATTATTGGATGTAAATAGAAAACGCTGATCTCACATTAGCCAAGAGTACCTGCACGTTGAAGGTTCTGGAGAACAAAGGTTTTTGAATTAATACAAGTCTATTACACTTTGACCTCCTACCATGATTATGTCCTTTGTTTTTTTTCTTTTGCAACATACTAGAGTAATTGTCATTTTTGTCTATTTTGTTGATCCATTTCCTCAGTGATTTGGATTAGGCTTATTGTATGATCCACCGTGTAACAATTATCATTATTTATAGACATTAAAATGCCTGAAACTGGATATCAAGTTCTTAATTCTGAAAGAGAAGAAGAAGTCCATTTCCAGTTTACTCCCAATATAGCTAGAAGTAAGTGTTCTAAAATGTTGACATTTAATTTGAAGGAGCCAAATTAATAATAATTGTTTTCAAAACATTATTCAATGGAAACTGTTATATCTGCACATATTTATTTATTATTAATATTAAATAATATATTGTTTTAGACCGATGGAATCACATAGAAGACTTAGATACATTTTTTACAAGAATCTACCTTTACCACCAAAGACATGGATTTATTTGTCTCATTCTTCAATCAACACTAGATCTTTTGCAAGTTATATTCTTATTGGTGTTTTCTCTATTTCTGTTTTACTGCATTGACTACCCAGTACTTTTCAGGTATAATATTGTATTTAACTAAGTTGAAATTAATTTAAATAATAATATCTCAAATATGAATTAAGTTTATTTTAAGAAGCTTCTTTTTTATTCAAAACATAAATTAACTATTCTATGACCTATATCAAAAAGACATCTTCATTTATAACATTTTAGGTTTGATGTTAATACTGCTAGTATAAGCCATATATTTAAATTGTTTTATTGCGTGGCAATTGTAACGATTGTGATCAATAGTCTACAAAATATTACATTATAATTTATTAATGGTGAGTCATAAATTGTACATCACCACTATTCAGTGGCGTGACTAGAGCTAAAATGTTGGTGGGCTAACTTGATATTACATGAAACATTACCCATGAGATGTTACCCTCCATACCACAAAATATATTCACCTAAAATTATACAAAAAAAAAAATAACAACTATTTATTTAATTAAGTTTCATTTTTTACAATAATAATATACTGTCTGTATATATAGTTCAGTGCATAAACTGTAAAATTAGCTTATAATATTTATTATAGGCAATATAAAATAATTATAAACTTTAAGTGCAAATTAAATAATAACATTTTTTTCAAAAAAAAAAATATAATAAGAATAGCAGTTAAATTGTCAAAGGTCTAGGAATTTTAGGAAACAAGTTATTAATCTATCTTGGGGGGCCCAGTCCTTCCAGATCCCCTAATTGCGCTTATGCCTTTATTTGATTGTTAGACTGTAAAAACTTAATTATGATTTAAACCTACATATCTTGATTCTTGACTCTTAATAATTGTAATTGATGTTGATGTCTTAATTTTTAGTAATTTATTAAATTAAAATGTATTTACAACTAAATGTAATAGTAAATGTAATTTATAAATGTAATAGTTTGTTTTTAACGGTTGATTAATAAAATACAGTTTCAACACAACTGTATTTATTACTAATTTTTAAAATGTAATTCAATGTTTAGAGACAAACCAGCAGATTCAAACAGAGTAATGAATGGCACTGATAAAGTACGTTTATCTGACGTTTTTCTGCCAGCTTCAAAATGTACTAGCAAATTTACGATTTTCACATATCTATACATGATACCATTATTAATGTTTGCTCTTTTCCGTCTTATGAAAGTGTTTAATGTTGCTTATCATTATGCTGATATCAAAGCATTTTATAATGTTGCACTCCATATACCTGACGTGAGCTATGGTTTAAAAATAAAAATAACATTTTTCAGAATATTTAAAAAAATTAAAAATCATCTTTATATTTTAGAAAGAGTTA